TGAAAGGACCTACAGTTCGCAAGACGGAAAAAATGCTCCAGGCCATAAGGCATCAAAGGATAGGCTAAGATTATTGCTTGGGGGTAACACAACAGGGATTTCAAGCTCAAGCCTTTGCTCGTGTTGCCATCGAGTTGATGTCGACTCATAGTGGCCCTATAGGACAGAGCAGAACTGCCCCATAGGGTTTCCAAGGAGTGGCTGGGGGATTCGAACTGCTGACCTTCTGGTTAGCAGCCTGGCTCTTAACCACTGCACCACCAGGGCTCCTTGCTTGTGTATCGCTCCCTAAATCCTTGGGCCCTTCGCTGTGTCATTAAGGCATCTCTTCCTGTTATTAGAAGGCAAATGGAAAGGCTTGCTTAACACTGCCATCTTTGAAGATCGATTTTTGACCCATTTTGCCCTTGCTGTTGAACATTATTGCTTGCCAAGAAAATTCCTTTCAAGATTCTCCTTGTGCTTGACAATGTGCCTGGACATCCAAGCACTTTAGATGACCTTCACCATTATATAAAGGTCACTACTTCAGTCAATGGATCAAGGGTCATAGCCTCCTATAAGGCCTGTTATTTACAGCAGACCTTCTCACAGTCAGGGCTACCCATACCCAAGATGACGTGATGAGCTTAAGGGAGTTCTGAGGAGTTATAATACCTATGATGTCATCAAAAATAATGCTGATTCTTGGGACCAAGTGAAGCAGCCCAATATGAAAGGAGTGTGGAACAAACTGTACTCCCAATTTGCGCAAGCCTTTCAGGGGTTTACAGCTGATGACATTGGCCAAAGCTAGGCAGGCTGAGGTTGATATTGGTAATCAACTGGAGTGAGACTTCAGGGAAAATGATGCCGTAGAGTTGTTCAACTCCCACTGAAGAACTAACCAATGAAGGCCTTATGGAACTAGAGCAGCAGATGACAGCATTTGAGGCAGAGACTGGGACCTAAGAACTCCAGAACCGAAAAAGATTTTCAATCAACCCAGCAGCTCTGTGGGAGAAAAGACTTGGTGGTTTGCTCCCATAAAGATTACAGGCTAGAAAACCTTATGGGGCAGTTCTGCTCTGTCACGTGGGGTTACTGAGTCAGAATCGACTTGATGGCACCTAACAACAACAACACAGGAGGGTAAGGGAAATCAAACCTATGGTTTACCAAATGTTCTCATCCGTGAATGGATGAACAGTGGACACAGGGGATACTGTTCCACAACAAAAAGGAATGAACTACTGATCCAATGCCAACAATATGGATAAATCTCAACCGTAGCATGCTAAGCAAAAGGTCTTTTACTATATGATTCCATTTATATGACATTCCAGAAGCAGTAAAACTAGAGACAGAAAACAGATCAGTGGTGGCTAAGGGTTGCGGGGGAGGGTTGACTATAATGGGACATGGGCAAGTTTTAGGGGGTGGTGGAACTGTCCTATACTTTGATTTGGCAAAATGGAGAGAATTCTATCAGAAAGAGTGAATTTCATTGTTTGCGAATTATACCTCAATAAATCTGATTTTTTTTCTTTTTTAAATGTAAGGTTTTCTTCCTGAGATCTATCTCCCAGAAATGTGCATGATCACACGTGAGCTCTGTCATTCAAGACGGGTCTCCTCGTAGTACTATACTCTCCTATTTCAACAGCCCACCACTGGGCTTTTGATCCAGTGCAGGAAGCAGAAACCACTCCAGGTGTTTTCATTAGAAAAGGACTTGATGTAAGAATTAGGTGCTTGCAAAATCACTGGAATAGTTGGAAGAAGTCAGGAGCCCCTTAGACTTTTGAATTCACTGTACGTAGCCATGATCCAAAGGTGGAGAAGCAGCTGCCACCATGGACACATGGCTTCTCACACCCATGCAGTTGGGACTAAGACCTAGAACACTGAGTTTGGCCACTGCAACTGCCTCTAAACACTCATGTCCCCACGGCCCAGCCTGCCAGCAGCAGGTCTCCATCTCAGACTTCCAAATCTCACACAAATGCATCTCACTCTTTCTGCATTTAGAAACTCGCTCCAAGAAAAGTCTGCGACATGGAGTTTTTAGGTTTCCAGTCTCTCCAATCAGGAAGGTGGAATGAAGGTGGAGAGAGCCAGCCCACCGTATATGCCACAATGACCATCCTTCCTGTCCTAAAACAAGGCCTTCTTCAACTAAGAAAGCGCAACAAAAACCCTTTCTAGCTAAATGTCAGTTTCAAATGGTGTTAGAGAGCTGAAAATTTATTCCATTAATGGGTAAAACCAAGATCCTAACTCATTTCATTATGGAAGAATGCTTCATTTTCACATTTAGTTACTTCCAGCCCCAGCAGAATAAAATTTTAAGATCCCTTCATTTGATAACAGAGCCAACCACAAATCTCTCTTACCTCATGTACTAAATACCCACTGGTCTTACAGCTTTTGTTCTGGGAATTAAAACAGGCTAAGCGTGAAAACGCATTCCTTTTCCAGATGTCTGTGAGTTATTTTATGATAAGCCAGAATCGGGAGGAGAGGAACCTTTCATACTCTAATTCCTGCCCTCAAAGAACTATCATGATTAAAACTATTAATAAACCAGAAGAGAATAATTCATTTAACTAAAGTGCCACCATGCAATGAGTTGCCCAACAGATTCCTTGCATAAGTAACTATATTCTAAATATCAAAAGGGTTAAGGACCCTCCTCCTGAGGAAATTTTAGCCTTTAGAAATTTCCCTTCATTTCTTGTTGGGTTATTTCTCCAAGTTGTAGAGGATGGAGGCAATGGAAACATTTGCCTTCTTCTGACAGGAAAACTATTGGGTGGATACTGCAAGCTTCTTCAACTATTGAGACAAAAAAGAAAAATGTATGACAAAGCACAGTGGCTTAAAAGAAAAATAGCGCCCAACCAACGCTCGCTGTTAAGAGTTGCGAGAATCATCTACCAGAGCTGTCACTGGAAGAGATGAGGGGAGTTTCCACAAAACAATTCCAATTCTCTCTCCTCAGAAAATCATCAAAGCAGCATCACACCCCATAAATCTCTCATTATGATAAAGAATTATCAAAGAACACCTTATAATATTGCTCTGACAAAAGCAGTAAGGGCAAAAATGACAACCAAAAATGAATGATTGTTCCTAACTTAAGAGAAAAAGATCTCCATAGTTCTTAGTCTTCAGGGCATTTTTCAAAAGTTGAACTTGGGAGCTACTTATTCCTTTTGGGCCATTATATATTATTTTCTGCCAACGCTACTGACCGGGAGGACAAAGAGGGCAACAATTTTATGAAAAAAGAAGAGACTTGGCCATCCAAGCTTCAGGAGCAAGAGAAAGCACCCGTCAGGGAAAAGCTGCGCACCAAGAAGGATTCAGAGAATAAGGAATTAAAACAACCAGCCCAAATAAGCAAGTTTATTAGGTTACGGCGTCCATTTGGTTTTGCCCCAGAGTGCTGCTGGGAATGAGGATTTGAAAAATGATTTCTGAAGATCTAATAACTCATTTCTCTACTCTTGATTTCCCTCTAGAGCAAGACTTTAAATATGTACATCACAGTGTGAACCTCCAAAGGCTCTTTTCCAGGAGAAAAAGGTTAGTGCATTTTTTCAACCCTTTAGTAGCTAGGCATCCCATCCTCAAATGCCAACCCAGCTGAGTCTCCCAAATGAGCAATATGACAACGGGGCTCCAACCATTGACACAGTCACCGACTTACCTTCCGATTCACCTACACATCAGCTGCAGGTTTCCTTCAACCTGCAACTCTTTATACAGGTAGAGGCCAAACGCCTTTCAGAAATTCACATTCCCTAGCCCCTTCATGGAGCCCTGGTGGTGCAGTGGTTAAGACCTCGGCTGCTAACCAAAAGCTGGGCAGTTCAAATCGACAGCCACTCCTTGGGAACCCTATGGGGCAGGTCTACTCTGTCCTACAGAGTCGCTATGAGTCAGAATTGACTCGATGGAAACGGGTTTGGTTTTTTGGTTTTATTCCCCTCAAACTCTGCTAAGACACCCTAAAGATGCTAATTAAGTACTTCTGGGCAGACTAATACTGCCTGTATAAGGACTAAACTATCAAGTCATTGTGAGAGAATACACTCATACGAAGCTTGGAGAAAAAATCTGACTGATAACCAAGACCATTTGATCGAAGAAACTGCCTGGGGCCTGTCAACTTTACAAAATCCATTTGGTGAGCGCCCTACAATGTTCAGGGTAAAATGATTTCAGTTAAAATTAAGAACACCCTTGAACTCATGCTTAAGTGGGTCTCAGTCCACTTCAAGAGATCATGTCAGGAGGACACACATACCAAAATAAAGAGAAAAAAACAAAAACTCACTCATGACACAGAGTAAAACTGACGAAAGGAAATGCATTTGGCTCCCTTTGGGACCGTCACTTAAGGGCAGTTACTCAGGGGAGCAGTGTGGGCGGATGACATAATGTCCATCAACTCTAATGAGAAAGGCCTGGCTGCTCCTTAAGATCCTCCCCGACCAGGCAGGGCAGTCATCCTCTGCAGACTGAGCCTGGCCACAGCGTCACGCCTACCAGGAGTCTCGGCCACTGTCCATCGCGTCCTCGGCTGCTTCTGGAGCATGCGGGAGCCAAGCGGGTGAGGCAGGGGCCGTGTTAGCATGAACCACACCAAAAAGCCGTTATTCCGGGGACTGACATAATATATTGTAACTGCTCCCGTCATGACAATAGGCACCATCTTCATGGGCCTGGTGGAACTTTTCCCAGTAGAAGTTAAAATGACTCCCATTTCAGTGAAAATAGGAGATTCCCCATTCCTAGGATCAACAATTCACCCACGGCAGCCGCCAGACACGAGAACGAGAGACAGGCCAGGCATGCGCGCAGCTGATTTGGTCTCTCCCGGTAATTCTTCCCTTTTATAATTTGTCTCCTCTTCAAACCCAGAGATGAGCAAGTTACAAATATAATTACTGTATTTCGGAACAAGCAACAACACAAGCTATGAACGGGCTGAGAGAGGACTGCTAGCTTACCTCCGGCTCTGGCTGTAAGGATTGATGGTCTTCAGCGGAGTTTGGTAAAATTGCCCAGGTTATGTTGGCACTGGCTGATGGCAAAGAGCCAAGTGTCCCATTTTTCAGCTGCTCTGTGGAATGTGACTTGGGCCCGTGCCATCCCAGGATGTTTTCTGAAATAAAGACCTTGAATGATGCCAAATATTTTCCAGATTAAACATTTATAGCTTAAGAAATCTTTGTACCTCGTTGTAGAAGGAGACCTACTTAAAATGGGCCCAACTTAAGACACGGTGGATTTCAATGGGGCTTGTTTTGAAAGGAGGAGCCCTGGTGGCGCAGTGGTTACGGGCTATCGGTGCTAACCAGAAGGTTGTCAGTTCAAATCCACCAGCCGACGGCAATGGGTTTGGTTTTTTGGTGGTTTTAAACAATGGAAGAAGAAATCAGAGGTTAATTTCTTTACCTTATACAATTCTGCTGTTAGAATATGTTGTTGTTAGGTGCCATCGAGTCGATTCCAATTCATAGCGACCTCATGTGACAGAGCAAAACTGCCCCACATGGTTTCCCCTGGTGGCACAGTGGTTAACTGCTCGGCTGCTAACCAAAATGTCAATGTTTCGAACCCATCAGCTGCTCCACAGGAAAAAGATGTAGGAGTCTGCTTTTGTAAAGATTACAGCCTTGGAAACTCTGGGAGGGTAAGGCAGCTCTACTCTGTCCTACAGGGTCGCTATGAGTCAGAATCGACTCGACAGCAATGGGTTTGGTTTTTTGGTTTAACCTTTATGGAAGCAGATCATCAGAGCTGCAGGGTGGGTTTGAACCACCAATCTTGCAGTTAGCAGCCCAGCCCTAGTGCTTAACCGTTGCACAAGCAGGGCTCCTTTACTAGAATATGAACAGGTCTCAAATTCAGCTATTTACAATCTATAGATTTGCTTGTCTCTCTTGGATGCCCTGTTTGTGGTTCCGTGCCTACCCTCCTCTCTTCTCTCCATCCTCATTAATCCCAGAACCCAGGATAGAAATCTTATCTTCAGCTGGTGCTATCCCTAGCAATAGGACCATTCTCTCTCATGGAACCGGGGTACAAGCACCTTCTCAAGGGCTAATGACATCGTCTACATCAGGGGTCAGCTCTGCGGGTTGATTTGCTCTTCCCAGGTCCCCAGAGGAGGTAACCCGATCTTATTATACACACTGGCACCTCACAACTACCGTACAGCCAGGGGCCCACAGCATAAAAGAGCAAAAGTAAAAAAGATGAAAAATAAGAGGACAAACACCGAAAAAAGGCAGGTAAGGAAGTTTCCATTTTGAAATAAGAGGAAGACAAAAGGAGCTTAAGAAAATAAAAGCTCCGCGCGTCCCCCTCCGAACCCCTTCCTCAAAGGGGCGAACAAGTAGACAATTAAGACGATGAGCAGAGACCCGAATTCGGTGTCAGTCTGACAAGAACAAGTGATAAAGGTAGGCTGAAGTGGAGACCGACTCGTCTGAATTAGAACTCAACCTTTCAGCCTTAAAATAATTTTATCTGTCAGCCTTTTCGCTAGAGTTACTCAAAGAAACATTTATAAGTATCTCAAGCTTTTGACACCCCAAGGGACTCTAGTTCCCAGAAACAAATTAACAGGCAGCTGCAAAGGGGTGTGTGCGTGCTTATGTGTGTGTGTTAGTGTGTGCCGTCTTATCCAAAACAGTGAAGTTTTATGCAATAATTTTTTTTTTTGTTTTTTAATGTCAAGTATTAGATCACATTATTCTGCTGCTTAAAAAAGCCTCAAATGGCTCCTCACTGCAATCAGAATAAAATCCAACTACTTAACTTATTACCTCTAAGGCCTGAGCCACGCGCCTGCCTACCCAACATCGTTTCTCTCTCCTCTCTTCCCTGCTCACTGTGCTCAAAACACACTGGTATTTTTTCCATTCCTCGAGTGAGCCAAGTTCATTACGGTCTTTGAGGCTTTGCACGCGCAGCTCCCTCTCCGGGAGTGTCATCTCTCCAGTTCATCTACATGGAGGTGGGAGAGGTCTCCTGTGTGAATTCAGGGGTCAGCTCAAACATCACTAGCTCAGAGAGGCCTCATGGGACCTCCCTAGCCGAAGAAGCACCTCCCAGGACACTCCCTGTCCCATCACTCTGTTTACGGTCTTCACGGCACTCAGCACTACCTGAATTCATCCTGTTCATTTCCCTATTGTTTTTCTCTCCTCTCCAGGATGTAGGCTCCTTAAGGGCACGGTCAATATCGCCCATGGCAGTGTCCCAAGACCTAGGAACACGGCTGGCACATGTATCCACTCAGCAAATAACTGACGAATGAATGAATGACTACTAAGATATTCAGAGACTGTAAACTTCAAAAGACTATGAGTTTCATAGCCTCCAAAAATTTTTTTAAAAAAAGAAGAAGAAACCTTGGTTTTTTGACTCTTTTGGCCAAACTCCAAAATGGGAGGACCAACTGTCTGAGTCTCCTAGTGCTGCTGTAACAGAAATACCAGGTGGGGGGGTTTTAAAGAACAGAGATTTCTTTTCTCACAGTTCAGGAGGCTAGAAGTCTGACTTCGGGGCACTGGCTCTAGGGGAAGTTACTTGTCTCAGCTTCTGTAACCCACTGCTGCTTGGTTCCTTGGAGATCCCCGGAGGCTCTACCTTTCCCTCATTGGTGCCTGCTTCTCTCTGTATCTAATCTGCTCTTTTTATACCTCAAAAGTCATCAGGTGATTGAGGTTAGGACACCCCGACCTCATTAACGTAACAAAGAAAACCGGGTTCCCAAATGGGGTCACACCCACAGGTACAGGGGTTAGGATTCCAACACATATTTTGGCGGGCACAATTCAATTCGTAACACCAATGCGAATAGCTTATTTAACTAATGATCCCCACGAATTTTACAAGAAAATGAAAAAGTTATTAGAAAGATGAGCTACAGAAAGCATGTTCAACTCTGCTCTGGCCTCCTCTCTTCATACACATGTCTCTAGCTCTTTTGTCCTTATTTATATCCAAGGTCACACGTGTGAACTGCAGGGATCCCCCAAGATTCTACTGTCACCTGCTCTGACAGCGCTGACTCCAGGGTCCCTTCCAAAACATGCTTGGCATCAATCATCCCGTTAGTACCGAGTTCTTTCCTGGTGCTAGAACGTGCTTGTCTGCTTACAGGTGTCTGCTCTGAATTTGAACCATATTCCCTGGATCAAGGTCTACCAGCAAATAACTACTAGAAAGCACACAAAACAATACTCTGTACTCCAACACCATTACAAAGCTCTGTGTAACTGGGTTGGATACAAACCCCAAAACAAACCCGTTGCCACTGAGTTGATTCCAACTCACAGCAACCCTATAGGACAGAGTAGAACTGCCCCATAGGGTTTCCAAGGAGCAGCTAGTGGATTCGAACTGCCGACCTTTTGGTTAGCAGCCAAGTGCTTAATCACTGCGCCACCAGGACTGACTAGTGTCCTCAAAAATTCACGCCCACCCGGAACCTATGAACGTGACCTTATTTGCAAATAGAGTCTCTTGGCAGATATAATCAAGTTAAGATGAGGTCATACAGGATTAGGGTGGACCCTAAGTCCAGTATGAATGGTGTCTTTACAATAAGAGGGGAATTTGAACACAGAGACACAGACACATGGGAGAACACCATGTGACTCAGAGGCAGAGACTAGAGTTAAGCTGCCACAAGCCAATGAACAGCAAAGACTGCCGGCAGCCACCAGAAGCTAGGAGAGAGGCATCAAACAGATTCTCCTCCTGAGCCCCCAAGAAGGAACCACCTTGTCAACAGCTTGACTTAGGATTTCTGGCCCTCTGGACTGTGAAAGAATCAACTTCTGTGGTCTTAAGCCACCTGGTTTGTCATAACTTGTTACAGTAGCCTTAGGAAATTAATATACCACCCAGACTCCCAATGCCCAAGGCCCCCAACAGTCCACTGCCGCCACCAAGCTGCTAAACTAGACTCAGTAGCCACCAAGAACACAAGAGCTGCATTTAACATCAGCAGAGCTACTTTATCAATTACAAACCTCTCCATAAACAGAGGTTAAAATAAAGCATTTCAGACCCCCTATAGGGTCACTGGAAACCCTGGTGGCACAGTGGTTAAGAGCTACAGCTGCTAACCAAAAGGCTGGCAATTCAAATCCACCAGACACTCCTTGGAAACCCTATGGGGCAGTTCTACTCTGTTCTATAGGGTCGCTATTGAGTCCAGAATCGACTCGATGGCAATGGGTTTGGTGTTTTTATATCTTAGGGGGTTGTCTTGGTCATCTACTGATGCTGTAACAGAAATCCCACAAGCGGATGGTGTTAACAAAGAGAAATTTATTCCTTCACAGTCTAGGAGGCTAGAAGTCCGAATCCAGGGTGTCAGCTCCAGGGGAAGGCTTTCTCTCTCTATCAGCTCTGGGGGAAGGTCCTTATCATCAATCTTCCCCCTGGTCTAGGAGTTTCTCAGCGCAGGGACTCTGGGTCTAAAGGACACACTCCACTTCTGGCTCTTCTTTCTTGGTGGTAGGAGGTCCCTCTCCTCTCTGCTTGCTTTTCTCTTTTATATCTCAAAAAAGATTGAGTCAAGACACAATCTAATCCTGTAGATTGTGTCCTGCCTCATTAATATAACTGCCTCTAATCCTGCCTCATTAATATCACAGAGATTAGGATTTACAACACACAGGACAATCACATCAGATCACAAGATGGAGGACAACCACACAATATTGGGAATCATGGCCTAGCCAAGTTGACATACGTTTTGGGGGGACACAATTCAATCTGTAACAGGTGGATTATATGAAGAAGAACACGGCATCAAGACTGGAGGAAGACTCATTAACAAACCTGTAATATGTAGATGACACAACCTTGCTTGCTGAAAGTGAAGAGGACTTGAGGCACTTATTGATGAAAATCAAAGACTACGGCCTTAGGATGGATTACACCTTCAACATAAAGAAAAGAAAAATCCTGACAACTGGACCAATGAGCATCATCATGATAAATGCAGAAAACACTGAAGCTGTCAAGGATTTCGTTTTACTTGGATCCACAATCAACACTCATGGAAGCCGTAGTCAGGAAATCAAATGATGTACTGTCATTGGTCAAATCTGCTACAAAAGAATTCTTTCAAGTGCTGAAAAGCAAATGTGTCACTTTAAGGACTAAGGTGCACCTGACCCAAGCCATGGTATTTTTAATTGCCTCATATGCATGCAAAAGCTGAATGATGAATAAGGAAGACCGAAGAAGCATTGACATCTTTGAATTATGGTGTTGGTGAAGAATACTGAATATACCGTGGACTACCAGAAGAACAAATAAATCTGTCTTGGAAGAAGGACAGCCAGAATCATCCTTAGGCGTGAAGATGGCAAGACTACGTTCCACATACTCTGGATGTGTTATCATGAAGGACCAGTCCCTGGAGAAGGACATCATGCTTGGTAAAGTAGAGGATCAGCAAAAAAGAGGAAGACCCTCAAGATGGATTGACATGGTGGCTGCAACAATGGGGTCAAGCACAGCAACAATTGTGAGGATGGCGCAGGACCGGGCAGTATTTCGTTCTGTTGTATGTAGGGTCACCATGGGTAGGAACCAACTCAATGGCACCTAACAACAACAACATATTAGAGATATCATCGGGGACAGGTCTGTGAACCAAAACTCATAGGTGGGAGGCAGATGAATATGAACACATTTTCAGATGGCTGTCCAGTTGCTGAGAGCGTCTGAAATAAAATGAGCATTAGACAGCAGCATTTATAGCCAAAGGCTCCAAACAATGAAACGCTACAGAAGATGAAATGCTACAAGACTACAAATTAATTTTTGATTCAGAAAAGGGGTGGTAGGGAAAAAACAGTGCGAGGGTCAGAAAGCAAAGAGACTGTAAGCAGGAACAATTGGTATGGGTATTCGGTATGCTGCGGGTATTTGGTATGCTGCGGGTAATCTGGACCTCCTGGCCCATTGAACATTGACACAAAACCCAAACAGGGTTTTACTTTAATCAGATTTTTATTTCCATCAACTCAGCCTGGCTCTCTTTAGACATACCCATTATGTTTTCATCGGTTGGTGTCAGGCTGCTATAGCTATTATCAGCCTCGAGAGCTCCGGGATTTTAAACAAATGCATTCTGCGGCAACATTCTCAGAACCACCATACTCTTAACTCCACTAGCTCGAGATTCGGCAACTCTGTTTTAACTGCAGGCAGCTGAGATGTTTTGGATGCAGGAAGTAATTCTGCTTTTTCCCCCAATGCCCAGCACGGATTTAACAAACACGTGCAAAATGTTTTCAAACTTAAGGGGTTGTGTTACATGGAATGTAACTTTTATAGGGGTTAAGACAAGGAAACAAATTAGCCATTGTGGTACCTTGTGCTCCCCACGTTCTCCAGCTTTTAGGCAGGCTCCTTGGGGGAAAAAACAGCCAGAAGGAAGAGGGATGGGCAAATGGGGATGGGAGAGGGACCACGAAGAAGGTATCACTATATGTGGTACAATGTCAGGGACTCTGCTTGGTCTCCTCCCAAACACTTCTCATGTCAACCTGTCACCACATCTGAAATTCCATCTTCAGTTTTTGTCCCTCCAAAAGCCTGTTGCCCTTGAGTTGATCCCAACTCATGGCAGCCCCACGTGTTACAGAGTAGAACTGTGCTCCACAGGGTTTTCAATGGCGCAGTGGGTAAGAGCTTGGCTGCTAACCAAAAAAAAGGTCAGCAGTTTGAATCCACCAGCTGCTCCTTGGAAACCCTATGGGGCAGTTCTACTCTGTCCTATAGGGTCACTATGAGTTGGAATCCACTCGACAGCAGTGGGTTATGGGAATCTTACAGAATAGATCACCAGGCCTTTCCCCCAGGATGCCTCTGGGTGGATTTGAACTGCCAACCTTTCAGTTAGTAGCTGAGTGCAAACCACCCATGGAAAAACACCAGAGGCTCAATGAAAATCATAAAAAGAAAGTGAAAATTTGCTGGAGACCAGCCCTGAGGAAAGAGTTTTTAGGGGGTTAATTTTAGAAATAAGAAAATGGTCAAGCTCCTATTTACAGTCTAAAGATTCTTGGCATGAGCCTATAAGGCGGCAGAGGCTAGAAGTTATGATACGGGGGAGGGAGACCATGGAGAGCCTTGAAAAGCTCTGAATGTGGGCCCAAATGGGGATCACTGGGATCTGTCCAGATGTGGAAATGTCAAGGAGTCTCATTGGAGTTGCAGCAGCAGAGATTCACATTTCAGACTGAGAAGGAAGAGAAAGGTCAGAAAAGCAGGTTTGGGCGACTTCACTCTGTGCCTGAATGCACACATGTACTCTCCTGGATTGGACCCCACAGCAGAAATCTTGCTGTTGTGGTTGTTATAAGGGACATTAATGGGACAACGGGTGAAATTTAATAAAGTCTGTAGATTCGGAAATAGGACTTCATTCATGTTAACTTATTTTGTTCGTTGCACTTGCATTATATAGGAAAATATCCTTTCTAAGGAAATAAACATTGAAGTATTTTAAAAGTGAAGAGGCATCATGTCTGCAACTTAAGTGGTTAAAAAATTATAATATGCTTATATATAGAGAGAGAAACAATGAAACAAGTATCTTAAAATATTACCATCTGGGGAATCTGGAAGTAAGTATATGGGAATTTTTGATACTATTCTTGCAATTTCTCTGGAAGTCTGAAATTATAGTAAAATAAAATAAATATACCTGCTCTGAGATGTCCCAGTTTGGGGGACCCAGAGCCCACTGGGTGGCCTGCTCTGGATTGAACAAAAACCACCAGCAGAGGAAGGTAGATGTCACAGTGGGAAGCGGGGCCTGTAGCCTGACTCTGCCATTTAGCTCAATGGCCTTGGGCAAATCTTTTAACCTCTCTGCATCTCAGCACCACTTCTGAAGAATGGGCATAATACCATCTACTTTGTGAAGATTTCAGAAAACACTGGTAGGACTGCAGCTCAATAAATGATGTTGAATATTATAAGAAGAAAGCCAAATCACCCCTCACATTCTACTCTGGAAAACCAACCGTAACTTTTAACCTTCAGGGATAGGGAAGGCAAAGGGCGCCTGAAGAAGGCGTGAAATATGAAGACCATCAGTTCTATCCCAGCTGTACTTTTATCACCCACGTTGCCTTCATTTCCTCATGAATTAAGAAATCCCTGGGCAACAAAGCTCGGTGAGGCTTCTGTTAATTATAACACTTAATAATTATATATGACATGGACAACCTCAAGCTATTTTCACCTGTATTACTGAATTTAGTCTTCACTAACATCTTTATGTCTGCTTATTGATTAAACCCTCCTCTAAAAGGGTTGAAACATCTTCAGGGAGTGAATTATGATCTCTAATATATTGATAAAGAACTAGAAATGCTTCTGGTCTGTATTCCACAGAAATCTTCGCAAGGTCCATGACGGACGTACACGAGGACATTCACTGCAGAGAGGTCAGTGGGGCCGAGAGCTGGAAGCAGTGTGGGTGTCCGTCAGCAGAGAGCAGTTGGGTACAACGTGGTGGACTCACACCACAGAGGAGTCTGCACAGTCAGAAGCAATGGATGAGACTCTGCATAGCAATGCATCTTGCAAAGAAAATGCCGAGTGAAAGAAGTAACAAGTGGAATGAGATCTACGATGTGATGCCAGAAAGTCTGAAACAAAGCCCACAGTATTCATGTGAACATGGTCAGTTGAATTCTAATAGGATGTTAAATTTCTGATTTGTAAAAGAAAAAATACATGGCAGAGTGGGGAGGGAGGGAGGGAGGAGTGGATGGCGAGACACTTGGATAAAAGGATAGGTGGATGGATGGTGGATGAATGCATTGATTTAACGGAGGAAGGCAATGGGAAACACACACACACAGATACAGGACTCATTCCAAACACCGACGCGCCCACTGGGAGTCTCACCTGAGGCCCCTGGCTTGTGGCTGGGCTGGCCCACCTGGTGTACACTCTGCTGTAGTAAGTTGAGGCACTCCCCAAGGCAGCTGAGGGTAGCAGCAGAGGTAGCTTTCAGCAGCAGCAGATCCTGGTCCAAGGCAGTGAGAGGGCCAGAACCTGGGAGGGACTCAATGGCGTGCACAAGGTTCTTCTGCTGTCCTTCCACCTGGTTCATCATCTACAAGACGGAAAAGACAGCAATGAAGTGAGAGTCGGAAGTCTTCCTTTCAACAGCCTCAGAACCCAGCACTTAAACCACAGAACTGGATGAAGTCATCACCCACACAAGTGAGGTGAGAGTCAGCTCAGAGGATGTTTAGTGCTCGTTGACCGGATGCAGTCCTGGGTGAAACCTGCCTAGGTAAATCTATCTAAACCACTACCTGCCGATTGCACACATCTACAGCTCAAATCAAGAGAATTTAGGGACCACCAGGATCATCTGGGTGTGTGGTTTTACAGAGCTTCAGAAAATATGTGAATAATAGATACATTAAAGGCAGAAGTCCCTGTGACCACCTTTAAAGTTCTTTTACTATGGAAGGTAATCTGAGACAGTGGGAGTACCAGCGGTTTTGTCCCCAAGCAAAGTTAATCCCTCCCATCCCCTCTGACTCCAATCCTCAACTCTTTCACAGTGCTATTCAAAGTTCAAGAAATGGAAGTGAAATTTGGGGCTGGGATCTGTACCAGCAAGATCCCACTGAAGCCAGCACAGAATCATCCCATCCCCCTCCCAAAAAAATCCCCCAAAATGGAATCTGACTTTCTTAACACTGTATAAGATGTCAGAAAGAAGGCAAAAACAAAAAACCCAGGAATTCTAGACCTAGTCCCGGTCCATGACTTAAGCTAAAACAAACCAAGATAACCATATTTTGGGTCCTGGCTTCCACTCAAAAGTTACAGACAAGCAATAGTCTAATTGCATCTTTACAAATCAAGGAGAAAGGAGCTGGGCCCTAGAAAAGGACTTTAATGGTTATCTTGAGAGGTCTGTCCCCCTCCTGTTTTAAAACTTACCTCATTAAACAAGATGATATACATGAAGTGCTTAGCAAATAAACAGTCACTTTCAGTGAGGAGTGGAGAAGCTACAGAAAGTAAGCTGCCCAGTGTCACAGAGCTGGTTAACATCAGAAACAGATCAAAACCCTGTTCTCTGGCCTCCAGTCCACTGTTCTTCAAGCTCCCCCCACAAAAGCTGTCCTTAACCTGAAGCAACGTCTGTCTGTCTCCTGCTCTGGCACTGTCATCCCTAGAGGATCCTTGTAACCATCATGAGGCTGTCAGCTAGGGAGAAACAGTAATTTAGTGGCCACATTTCTGGACTTGGACACAAAACTCAGTCCATGCTCGGCCTTGTTTTTCTATTTCCTTTTGTAAACAAATACCTTCTGTGTTTTTTTTTTCAATCGTGCTGTGTAGCTGTCTGCTTAAAAATAAAACGTTCGTCCATTGCAACTCTACTTACCAAAATGGGTGCCCTTACTCCAGAAAGGTTTACAAAATCACCGTTAACAGATGTGTTGCACAGACATGGTTTGGAGAGTTCTCACCTTCACAGACACACCCATCATTTGACCATCCAGGTTGTTTTTCGAAGACTACAGAGGTTACACCTAGCCATTTCAACTCCTAAAATGATGCCTGGTGTACAACGGGATATCGATAAATACTCATTTCTCCTTCACATCTTTGCTTAAAAGTTACCTTTGCAACAAAATTTCCCGAACCACCTAATTGACAATTGCATCCCCAGTCAATCCCTAGCATCCCAATTCTCCTTATCAACTTTGTCTTTCTCCATAGCACTTACCACCTTCCGAACCACCTCGTAATTTCGTTATTATGCTCATTTATGCTAGTGTGTAAGCTGCACGAGGGCAGAATCTTCCCGTTTTCACTGACTTACCCCCAGTACAGTGAATACCTGCTGAATGAATGAATTAACCCCCAGAATCACTCTTCTTCCACTGAAAGTGCAAGAGAACCCATTTATGACACAAAATTCTGCAGAAACCATTCTGCCCGAATAGATTATTACTTTATTAGCATAATACAGCTGGAGGTTTAGTAAAGGGGCAAGCTTCCATGATCGGTTTAGGTTTACCAAGAAACGCAGTCAACTGGTTAAGTTTAACTTCAAGCAAAACAAAGCTCCCATACACTCTTTGACAGTCAACTCTAAGTACAGCTACTAACAGAAAAAAGAGGATTTCAAGCTATTTGTAGTAGTCAGCACTTCTGTAAATTCCTACCATAAAATCCTGCCTTACAGAAACGATGCACTGAATGAGAGAAGGAAATCTAATGACGAAAAGTATAATACATCATGTTTTTTACAATTATGGATGATGCTGTAACACTTAACAAAAAGGTGAATAAAATCAAGCCATTAACTATACGGAACATATTTGTTTTTAATTCAACAAGAGAACTAACTGTACTCCATTTATATAGTATAGGATAAATACTTGTTATTCGAAAGCATAAAATACTCTGGAAATCTTCGGTAATTAAAAACACAAAATGGCCTTACAGAATCTTCCACTCTTACGAGAGAGGTACGTGCCCAGAGATGGAATCCATACGTCTGCTCTTTGAAAAGAATTCAACAGTATTTATTGTGAGCCTATTGCCAGCACGTGAGACAGAACTGCTTTTTAGAGGGGACACTTAGAAATGGAAGTGGGGTGGATCTGGCACACAATGACTGGGGGGGGCTGCTGGCACGTGGGGGCAGCGGTTGTTGTTGTCAGCTGTCACTGAGCTGATCCCTGACTCATGGCAACCCCATGTGTTACAGAGTAGAACAGCTCCATAGGGTTTTCTAGGCTATAATTGTTTTCTCCTTTTTATCTTGTCGTTGTTGTTCAGAATATACACAGTAAAACACACACCAATCCAACAGTTCCTACGTGTACGATTCAGTGACATTGATTACATCCTTCGAGTTGTGCAACCATTCTCATCTTCCTTTCTTCTGAGTTGTTCCTCCCCATTAACATAAACTCACTGCCCCCTAAGGTTTCTATCTGATCTTTTGAGTTGCTGTTGTCAATTTAATCCCATATAGATAGATCTTAAAAGAGCATAAGGAGCCCTGGTGGTACAGTGGTTAAAGCGATCAACTGCTAACCAAAAGCTGGGTGGTTCGAAAATAGCAGCGGTTCTGAGGGAGAAAGATGTGGCCGTCTGCTTCCGTAGATGTTTACAGCCTTGGAAATCCTAGGGGTCGCTATGAGTCAGAACCAACTCGAAGCCAGTGAGTTTGGTTTTTTGGGTTTAAAAGAGCATAATGCACAAGGCAGACACATTCTTTACTAGTTAAGCTAAACTACTGTTTGTTTGCCAATTCAACTTTTTACAGGTGTACAACTTATTGACAGCAATTACAATAATCGGCTGTGCAACCCTACCCTTAATCAATGTGATTGTTCCATTACCGTTAACCCTCCCCTCTTCCTTCTCCCTCCAGCCCCTGGCAACCACTAATAAATTTTGTTCTCTACACATTTGCCTTTTCTTGTCTTTTTATATAAGTGAGGTCATACAATATTTGTCCTTTTGTGATTGACTTATTCCACTCAGTATAATGTCTTCTAGCTCCATCCATATTGTAGCAGGTATCAAGACTTAATTTCTCCTACTGGTTGAATAGCATTCCATTGTATGTATGCGTGTACCCCCATTTTGTTTATCTATTCATCTGTCGATAGGCATTTAGATTGCTTCCACATTTTGGCAACTGTGAATAGTGCTGCAGTGAACATTGGTGCACACGTCTCTGTTTGAGCCTCTGCTTTCAAGCCTTTGGGGTATACACCTAGGAGTGGAATTGCTGGATCATATGGTAGTTTTTTAGTGTTTTGAGGAATCACCGCACTGTTTTCCACAACAGCCATACCATTTTGAATTTCCATCAGCAACGAGTAAAACTTCCAATCTCCCCACATCTTCAGCAACATTTATTATTTTCTGGGTTTTTTTTTTTTTTAATCTTAGTCATCCTAGTGGGAGTGAAATGGTATCTCATGGTGGTTTTGATTTGCATCTCTCTGATGGCTAATGACGTTGAACATCTTTTTATGTATTTGGTGGTCGTGTGAATGTCCTCTTTGGTGAAATGTTTATTCAAGTCCTTTGCCCATTTTATGATTGGGTTGTCTTTTTGTTATGTTGTCAAAGTTTTATATATATTTTGGTTGTTAGATTCTTATAGGACACATGGTTTCTGAAGATATTCTTATTGTTTGGTTTTAAGAACACTTTAGGGGCTATTTTTGGTTTAAGGTTTAAAAATTAAGAGGGCAATAGTTTCAGGGGTTCATCCAGCCTCCATGGTTCCCAAAAATCTGGATTCCATGAAAATCTGAAATTCTGTTCTACATCTTCCCTCTTTTGATCAGGATTCTTCTACAGAATCTTTGATCAAAATGTTCAGTAATGGTAGTCAGGTACCATCCAGTTCTTCTGGTCTCATGGCAGAGGCAGTTGTTCATGGAGGCAATCAGCCACTCATTCCATATCCTCCCATGCCTGACTCTCCTTCTCTGTTGCTCCAGGCAAATAGAGACTAATTGTTTTGTGTTGGATGGCCACTGGCAAGCTTTTAAGAGCCCAGGCACTAAGCAACGAACTAGGAGACAGAACAGAAGCACTAAACACATTATTAGGCCAATTAACTGGGCTGTCTCACGAAACCATGACCCTAAACCTCCAAACCAAGAAACCGAGTCCCGTAAGGTGTTCGGCTGCACACAGCAGCCTCAGCAGCTACTCTTTTGTCGTGGTTATTCACCATCATAAATGTATCACACAACTTCTGCCAATTCAACCTTCTACAGGTGTACAACTTACCTACTGACAGCAAATACAGTGATCAGCTGTGTAACCCTACACTTAATGAACGCAATTTTTCCATCATCATAAACCAAAACTCAGTACTCTGTATGCAATAACCGCCCCCCCTTTTCCCCTCCCTCCCACCCACAGTAGCCACTAATAAACTCTGGTCTCTAAACATTTGCCTTTTCTTGTCTTTTTATGTAAGAGACGTCATACAGTATTTGTCCTTTTGTGACTGACATTTCACTTAGCGTAATGTTGGCTGTAATCTTTATGAAAGCAGCTTGCCAGGCCTTTCTTCCGTGAAGTCGTTGAGTGTGTTCAAAT